TGAACCAACAAAGCATGCAAACACTACAGTCAGTTCCTCACAGAACTGAATTGGTGTAGTCTGTACACCAGGCACAACTGACACATTAACATGAGGTTCCTGGGGGGGCGGGGGATGTCTGAATATGTAAGCTGATGATCTCATTATGCAAATGCAGTAATTTACAGTTGTGTGAAATGTTAGGCTCCAAATATATAAACAGGGTGCATTAAAAGGACAATATTCTCCCCTTCACTTGTTATCATTTTAGATCATGATGGTTTGCTGTGGATGTGACTAAAAGCTCAGTGAGTTTTTCGATTCCCACACTTAAACTAATGAAAAATGCAAGATCACCATAATCACCTGTTTTAAACTTGCCATTTTGAATGATATCAGAGACTTCGCTAACTCTGAATAAGCCTAATATTGTGTCAATTAATGGCAATTTTGTGGAATATTGGGGTGGAGTGGTGGCTAAATGACTTCTTTCATTTTTAAATTTTCTTCTATTTTTATAAATTTACTTTAATCTATAGCTTATGAAAATTTGCTGAACTTGTATTTATTTTTCCTAGCCTATTATTCATGAACTTTTCTTCTTTTTTATATATTATTCTGAAATTTTCAAAGGATATATACTAGCTGTTTTCATATCTCCCCCCAGATGAGTCTGGAGTATTTTCCAATGGCAGTATAGACTAGTCCAGGGGTAGGCAACCTTGGCTCTTTTATGATTCGTTGGAGTCTTTTATTTTATGACTTGTGGGAGTTGAAGATGAGCCGAGGTGGCGCAGCAGTTAGAGTGCAGTACTGCAGGCCACTTTAGCTGACTGTGTTCAGCAGGTCAGCAGTTCAAATCTCACCGGCTCAAGGTTGACTCAGCCTTCCATCCTTCTGGGGTAGGTAAAATGAGGACCCAGATTGTTGGGGGCAATGTAAATATATATATATATATATACATTGCTTACTGGTGTACACCGTTTAGAGAGTGCTTGTGCTTAAAAGCGGTATATAAGTCTCATAAATAAATAAAGTCCACAAGTCATAAAAGAGCCAAGGTTGCCTACCCCTGAACTAGGCCTTAATGGGAGAGCACTTGGCATATGAAAACTGGTCTACAAGAGAAGCTAAATAAGAGGGTTTTTTTTAGAATCATGACTTCCCTGAAGGACCTAATTTGGATAGATGGTGTTGTGTCTTACATTTAACAGGATCATTGGGCATAGAAAAGTACAATTTGACATAGAAAAGACACATTCCTTCTGATTCCTTCCCCCCCCCCCCAGATTTAATAATCTAATAATAATTTCAGGAGACCTAATGATTAAAGGCTTCAAGCTAGAAACTGGGAAACTATAAATTTTTAAGCCTTAAGCACAAAACCAGCTGGGTAACTTTGGGCTACTCATGTTTTCTCAACTCTAGGAAGCAGGCAATTGCAAACCATTTTTGAAAAACTTTGCCAAGAAAACTACAGGGACTTGTCCAGACAATCTCTGAAAATTGAATGTGATTGAATGGAAGAAAAAAAAAAAAACCTCCTGTAGCAAAAACCAGAGTTTCCCTTACTGTCTTAAATATTAACCCACTTCTTTAGGTACATGGAAAATATCCCATTTATTTCAATGTACATCTGTAAGATGTGAGTAGATGTCAGTAAGACATCTATATCATTATACCTGATACATCCTTTTAACATGCACAATATTGTATTCCTGAAATAGACTTCTTGGGACATATTCTTGAACCTGCCACTGTGGTAGTTACATGTAAAATTCTGAACTCAGGTTAACAAAGCACATTTGTTATATTCACATGATAAACTTATACAGTATAAAGCAACCTTATTGTGGCCTGGCATTATTGGTCTAGAATTATTTTGTTGCAGAGAATACCTGCTTTGACAACTGATGCACCATTTAAATAGTAGCAGAAGGCTATATCTAAATCTGTATGGCGGGGGAAAACATCCTAAATATAGGATGTTACAAGATGCAAAGGAAAGATTGAATATACAGATTTGAAATTGAATTTTGCAGCTTCTTGTTTGGTTTGGATAAAAGAGTGGTTACTACTGAGAAATAGAAGGCGCTTAGTGTTAGAAAACCTGAGATTTGGGTAAAGTGAATATTCATGATACAATAAAGAGAGGGCTAATATTGATTGTTTTAAAAATGCCATACTGAGAATGTAGAATAGATACAAATACAGATTTGACTGAAAACACATTGGCTCTCACAGAAGCAGCTTTTTATAGATGAGAAATACTAGGCAAACATAAATGGGTAACTCATTGTGAGATACTAGAATTTTGTCAAGGGGAATACAAAATAAAATCAAGAGAAGAACTGGTGATAGAGACCATTGCCAATGGTTTTCTTATTTATTTATAGCTATTGTTGTTGTTAATTGCGAAGTCATGTCCGACCCATCGCGACCCCATGGACAATGTTCCTCCAGGTCTTCCTGTCCTCTACCATCTTCTGGAGTCCATTTAAGTTCACACCTACTGCTTCAGTGACTCCATCCAGCCATCTCATTCTCTGTCGTCCCCTTCTTCTATTGCCCTCAATCTTTCCCAGCATTAGGCCCTTCTCCAGTGAGTCCTTCCTTCTCATCAGGTGGCCAAAGTATTTGAGTTTCAACTTCAGGATCTGGCCTTCTAAAGAGCAGTCGGGGTTGATCTCTTCTAGGACTGACCGGTTTGAACGCCTTGCAGTCCAAGGGACTCGCAGGAGTCTTCTCCAGCACCATAGTTCAAAGGCCTCAATTCTTTGGCGCTCAGCCTTTCTTATGGTCCAACTTTCACAGCCATACATTGCAACTGGGAAAACCATGGCCTGGACTATACGCACTTTTGTTGGCAGGGTGATGTCTCTGCTTTTTAGTATGCTGTCTAGATTTGCCATAGCTTTCCTCCCCAGGAGCAAGCGTCTTTTAATTTCTTGGCTGCAGTCCCCATCTGAAGTGATCTTGGAGCCCAGAAAAATAAAATCTGTCACTACCTCCATTTCTTCCCCATCTATTTGCCATTTATAGCTATTAGGAAGATTTAAATTAGACAAGTGTTTATCTTGAAATTCTAGAGCAAAAGTAGGGCACAAATCCAACAAATGAATTATATCTCTAATGAACATATTCTATTTCTTTAAATAATATGCTTCATACTCGTATATTTAGATTAAAGTGACAGAATAACAGAGTTGGAAGGGATTTTGGAGGTCTTCTAGTCCAACCTCCTGCTTAAGCAGGAGATCCTATGCAACTCCAGACAAATGGCTGTCCAATCTCTCTTCTTAAAAACCTCCATTGATGGAGCATTCACAACTCTCTTATCCCATATACTTTGCTTCTGTATTTGAACCAATGGAAGAATTTTTACATACAAGAGAAGATTAAATAGCACATTTTCAGCAAATATCTAACTGATCATGCTCAATGAAAATAAAGGTGCAATTAAATAATTATAGCCCAGTTAACTTTATGCTGATAAGTTCATGATAATAAGTTATAACTGTTTCATCACCTAGTCCCATTTCTGATTTTAAAAATCTCTATAAATTAAATCTCACTTCAGTGGATTTTAAATCCTCAGTATATTCAAACACTGGTTTAAAAGGGTCATTTATTTAAAAGTGTTATCTTGTTTCCTTTAGCCTGTTGTGTCTTTAGTCTCGGAAGCCTTTCTTTTAGCTGACAATGAAGTAAATTTACTATTATTTTATAAGACCAATTGCTTTACTGAATTCAGATTCCAATAAATGTTTAGAAATTAATTTCTGCAAACTTCCAAAGATATCTTCAAAATGTCATTTCTCTTTTAATACATTCAATATATAATTATTTTCGGGTATGTTTAATCATTGTAAATTGAACGTGAATTTGCTAAAGATTGTATCCTAATCCCAAGAAAAAAGTGGTGGACTAGTAAAAACTGGTAACTCTCTGAGCTATTAATTCACACATCAAAAAACAGCATTATAGAACTGGATTAATTCATGTTATATATCAAAGAAAGAAATTAAGCAGAATCATGTCTCATTTCGGAGTTATTCTTTTCTCTGCTGCATATATCTTGGCTGCAAGACATTTCATGAAAGCTCAAGGCAAAGGTAAATTAAATCAAATCCTTACTTATAAGGCACTGATATCGAACAAATGTATGCATAATATTTTCCATTTCTTGAGAAAAAAAGGTTGGAGGAAATATTAACTTGCATTCATAAAATAAAAAAGTGCAAATAACCATGAAGCAGTCAGGCCTCCTCAACCATATCAACATTAATTAATGGTTGAAACAGTAACTTTCTTCTTGAAATAATTTCTACAATTATGCCAGTTGTTAGGGAATAGGAACTGTATCAAAACTAAGCAGTGTTGTCCTGTCTGGCCTGCCTGGCTCATGAATGCAATAATGGAAAACTCAAGAGACTCATTTTTTTCTATCACAGCAATTACACGTGAAAGAAGACTTGAAAGCAACATTAGTCTTGGATCTCACTTGGAAAGATCCAATGTTGCATGGAAACGGGTAGCTTCAATATTAACAGAAGGAAAAGTGGAGATTCAGTCAACATGTCGGTTGCAAGCCAGGGAAAGATGCTGCTACTCAAAATATAAGACATTCCCATTCCTCTGACATACCACTGGACTAAGGGAGTAATAGATACCTAGCAAAAAGATATCATGTATAAAGTTTGCTTTATCTAACTGTGCTTTATATACGAACTAGTGCAGGGGTGTCAAACTGCTGGCCGTGGGCCAGTTTCATCATACCAGAGCTGCGCCCACCCCATTGCCGGCAATGGCGAAAAAACTCCAATACATTGTGCAACGTCACATGACGTCACAAGTTTGACATGTCTGAACTAGCGTTTGGAGCAGTGTCTCTCAACCTTGCAACTTTATAAGGTACATGGACTTCAATTCCCAGAATTCCCTAACCATGATGGGTTAATGTTGAAGATCTATCAATGTATTATAGTCCTGGTTCTGACTTGACTCAACAACTGTAAAAGTCAACAAAAATCATTATTTTATTTTTCCAGGATTGGGTCACAATAAGCAGATAAAAAGGGTACAAAACAAATGTATTCTTTCTCATCTGAGCAAATATAGAACAGCTATTTTTCCTTAAAAAGAGAAAAATCAAATGTAGCACTTTTGGGGTGCTTAACATTTTTTGTGAGAAAATGTCACTTAATAAAACTGGACCACTGATGTTTTATGCATGTTATCAAAAATATTATTACATTACATTATTTAATATTAAGTTTAATAAGTCAGTGGTGTGGGTAATAGGAATAGGAATCATAATGTGCATGGCTATCCGCTTCCTCGGAATAAGACAGGGATGGTAAAATACATTTAATATGCATCATAATGGAATTTATCATGCATTTGTTTTGAGCTTTCTAGATAAAATTGTATAGAAATGGAATGTTCTAAGCAATCTCAAAGTTTATGAAAGTTGCTTTTACTCAAGTAGTTTTTTTATTTGCAATTAGGATTCTTAGCAGGTTAGTTTCACCAGCTTATTATAGCAATTAATGCTATATTATTGGGTATTTAGCACTCCCTGCAGGACAAGAGAGGTACTCCAAATAATTCTTATTACCTGTCATGCAAATAATAAGCATGGGACACATTAAATAAAATTCTGAAAACTTAATTCTTCTTATATTTTTAATAACTGCTTGTAAATTTAACTTTATATTCTAATTTATGTAAGTTTCTTTTATACATGTTAGTGACAACTAAAGAAGACATGTTTCTCTTTTACTAGTTATTTTTATGAGGAATCTTAGTTCCAAATGTAACGAAAATAATAACAACCCCAAATCTGAAAAGTATATTTTCTTGAGCATAATATTTGGCAAGAACAAAGGACTGTTCATAATTTTTTAATCAATTAAGTTACACAAAACAGAAGCAAAACATTGGAGTATACCTGTTCAAGAGTTCCAGATCCTGCCAGCATTACAGATGCCTTATTTTGAACTGGTAAATTCAGGCACAGAGATGTAAAGTTCCACATTCTGATCAATATATACAATACACTCAGCATGTTTAACATTTTGGTGTGAAATATGAACAATTGGTATCTTCTAGTCCTCAGAGCTTTCAGCATACATTTAAGAGAGATTTTTCAAGTATATAGGGCACAACTAGAATATTACAAATACAAGACATTCTGTACTGCTGGCTTTATAATGCTATTTATTACACACTAGCTATGTCTCTTCTAAAGTGGAAAGCCTTGTATCATACTTTGTAACTAAAGAATAGCTTCTTTTCATCATGTCTCCCACTGACATCTGTAAACAAAACAAAGCAACAACAAATGCCAACCAGGAATTTTTTAAAAAATGTGAGCATCCTGAAAATAAAAGCTGAAAAAGGACTTTTTCATAGTCAGCAGATTGTGAAATGTATTTTGTTTAAAGCTTTTTAAATCCACTTGAGACTCTATTATCAAGGGATTACCTAGAAACATTTACAATGTGGTGCCATTTGGCAGTTGAGGGCAGTTTGGCTTTCAGTGATAGCTAATTGGGCTACAATGCATCCTTCAATAATAGTTTGGAAGAAATATTTCAGATCTTGTACAAACTCTGCACCTACTATTCGGAAAAACAGACTTTTTTTCAGGCTTCTGTAGAGGCCTGAAACAAAATGGCTATTTTAAAGGATTGATTCATTAACATTAACATGATTCTTAAAGCAGCCACATTGCTTTTTAGGCTCATATGGAAGAATTAAATAAATTGAGCTATTGTAGAAAATGGCAGAAAGATGCTATAAGGGTATAAGGTCTGAATTATTTCTGTAATTTGCATAGCCCTAATAAAGAATAGTATGTCAGTAAGCAAGCAAGTAAGTAAATAAATAAATAAGTAAATGAATAAATAAGGAGTAAAGTATCTACCACAATGTATTAAGGAAAATCATTGTGACTTTGAATGATGTATTTGGAATTATAGTTTAGTTCCCAAGCTGTGTGCTGTTAACAAACTCACAGGGGCATCATTTATTTGCAAAGTTGGGGTTTGCAACGTGTAATATTTATGAAGCTGATTTTTTTGGCAGTTGCTCTGAAAAAGCAGGTATTGTGTGAAAATCAATGTGGAACAGGAAATGAGGGTGGAGGTGTCCAATCTGATTCCAAGATTTGAGAAGTTGTGTGCCCAAACATGCACAGATTCCTTTAGTAATTGTGGTTATTTAAAAATAATTAAAAAAAAACATTGGAATTTACGTGTATTATTTTTCAAATGACTATTCAGTTGTTAGGACATAACATCTTACTGTTTGAACCTAACTACTTAATAAATGAAATTGTTAAATATTTCTTTTGGTCTAGAGCTGCCTTGAAATAATTACCGTGACACGAATAGAGCTGTGAGTCAAGAAAGTTTGGAAATCTCTGGTTTAGGATTATTTAAGCAAAATACAGTTCTATCAATCAGTTACTGCCATGGGAGTGGTTGGGAATGAAATAAGCATTCAATTGTTGCAACAATCTCTCGAAATTCATGAGGAGAAAAAAGGCAGAATTCATGTTTCTTAACAAGATAAATATACTCAAGCAACTTTAACAACACTTAACAGCAACAGTTATAAATGTATACATTTGTGACTAGGACAATACAAGCTTATATCCTCTCAACCGTTGAGAAAACTGTAACAGTATTTGCAATTCCTTTTCCTTCTGGTCAATAAAGAAGTCAAGGCAGCTTAAACCAATATAAATATTTCTTTTTAGAATAATTTAAAGTAATTCATCCATTGAAAGAATGCACAGATATTTTATACATTTTCTACAAAACCATACATTGGCAATTAACATTAAGAAACATTATTTCACTAAGCTTAAAGGCGTTGTACTGAAAGTGTCCCTACTAAAAAACCAAACAATTCAGAAAGAAAGCTGAATATCTGAAATTATTTTTTAACATAAATTAAAAGTACAGATCAATTTGAACAAGTTTACTGTTTTAGATCTATATGCATGCACAAAAATCTAATATGGAAAATGACTAACAATTTTATTACTTCATGTTTAAAACTTTTCGCTGTATTTCCAGATGCATTATGCCAGCTGAAATTCCTAACACACTTTTCTATGACTCATTTATTCCAATGTGTTCACTAGTGACTGTATTTTAGAAATACAATATAATTGTCTCATGAATTAGAGGAATTTTTCACAGAATGAATATATTAACAGGGAAGGCATCGTGCTAGATTTCAGATATCTGGAGTATCTGAATAATTCCCTAAATATAAAGTATATATTTCTGCTTCCAATGCCCCAGTTTGATTATTCTCCAAGACAACCATTCAGAAAGTTCATACCGCAATCTGTCTCATGAGCCATTCAACAAGCAAATGATAACTTCCCTTTCCGAAAAGGGAAATTTTATATAAAAATTTCTGCTTCCATCTCTAGCGTCATGAAAGTGTGGCCTGCTATCTCTTCAAAGTCTCCTTGAGCATGTCAGTTTGGAACTGAGAACTTTATATAGTTCAGCTTTGATAAGTTGGAGTATAGTCTGGCCGCCTAGTATTAATAATTTTTGGCTTTGGTTTCTTGACTATTTCCATTGATTCATCTGACTCAAGTTCCTCATTGCTTTCACATACATGGACCACCACGCTAGGAGTAGTTTCAGTTGCAGCATGAAGTTCATACTGATCTCCTAAAATGTATTTAAAAAACAGTAAGTGATAATTGTAAGTGATAATTGTACACTTAATAACACATACAATATCCCAATTGAATTTATTGCATATTGCCATTGGTTAAAAAAGTCGCAATATGATGCCGTGTATAATACCTAGCTGCTTGGCTTTCTGAATCCAGAATGCTGCTTCCAATGGCGAATTCGGAAATATCTAACACCTTCTCAATTTTGATAGAAGAAAATATTCTCTTTTATTACTTCTGAGTAAGTAATTGCATTAAAACTGACTGAATTAATTTTATTTATCATATGAATCTCATTTTTTCTTTCTCCCCTCCCTTTATGTTTGGTTTATTTTAATCGAAGTAACCTATGTTACTGCATTATAACTGATGCATTATTTCACCTTTTGTTTGTTTTACTTCACTAATAAAAAAATAGGTTAAAAGAAAGTTAAGGATTCCATTGCTAGTTCCTGATTATTTCATTCCTTAGTCCTGTTCCTAATTAATCCTTTTAAATTATTCTAAACATAAATATAATATGACTTCTAGGGTCATATACACCTTGAAAATTATTAAATTTTAAAGGAGGATTTTTTTTATTTACCTTAAGCTTTTAACTATTTTTAAAGGAAGTTACACAGGAAGATAAAAACATTATGGAAAATCTTTTTACTGATGCATTCTCCTTTTCCCATCCATTTGTTCCCCCAATCTAAATATGTTTACTACACTTTGAATGTTTAAAGTTATTGCTTGTATCTAAAACAAAAATGAATGAATGATATCTTGAAAATAATTTAGAAGTATTTTGGACCAAGCACAATAAATTTCTGCTAAAGTAGTCCAACACGTTACCATGTTCTGCATGAGCCTGAATAAAATACAGGTATCTTCTACTTACAATTGGTCGCTTAGTGACCATTTGAAGTTATGAAAGATCCTCTAAAAAGTACTTATGACCATATTCGAAGTTCTGATGGATGCCCCCCCCCCATGGTAAGGGGACCACATTTTAGGAACTTGGCAACCAGTCTGCATTTTCAACCATTTACAGCAGGGATCTTCAAACTTGGCCCTTTTATGACTTGTGGACTTCAACTCCCAGAATTCCTCAGCCAGGCACACTGGGTGAGGAATTCTGGGAGTTGAAGTCCACAAGTTATAAAAGGGCCAAGCTTGAAGACCCCTAATTTACAGTGTTCTGCAGTATGTAACCATTCAGTTTCCGCCAAAACACCCCTATAACGAACAATGGGTTCATATAATAACAACAGCATTTGCTTTATGAGCACTACATAAAAAGGTATAAAGTCAGGTCGGTCATGTGATGACCTGCTTAATGACTGTCATTACAACCATAATTGCTGGCTCAATTACAGTTGTAATTCAAGGGCTACATGTATACAATCTCTTTAAGCGTTGCATGTTCTTTTAATGGATAATAGAGCAACTTCTTAGAGCAGCATTTTTTTTCCCAAACTCACATGGAAGTCAAGAATAAAATTCCATGCTTTATGAACATACATTTTACACATCCCCCATATAGAGAGAGTAATATTATTAAATTAAATAGAAAAAAATAACATGAATTTGAGTTATTAAGAATTCAGATTTAAAATGTCTTACCTGGTCCTAATTTGGAAATTGCGTATAAAAGATCATAATTAATAGCAGGTGTAGCGTCATCTGCTTGTTCCCAACCAACAGGAGGAGATGATGGAGGAGAGATCAGGAATTGTTTCTGTAGATCAGGTGGTGCTAAGTGTGTATTTCCAATATGCAATCTCTATAAAGTTATAAAAAATGCATTCTTATGTTTATGCTGATAATTATATGACATGAAAACGATGGCATGTATATAGTTGGGCTGCTTTGCACATCATCTCACTTCTGTTTATAAAAAAGAGACTGACCATTTTTTAGGCTTTTGTACAAGTTTGAAAGAGATATGCCACTGCTTTTAAGGAATCTACTCATCAAAGTGATCTTACAGCAGTGGCAACTTTCTCTCTGTGTGGAAAACTATAAAAGATCAGGCTCATATAATGTTACCAGGCTATTCAGGGATTGAGTATGGAGAAGGCAATAAATACTGAAGACATAAAAGAACAGAATCCTCACATTATTAAGATCAAGAATAGAGCATCATAACTTCAGTTAAAAACCTGACTAAAATGTCAAAAACATAAAAGGTTTGAGCATTCACACCAAATCATAATTAACGAGAAAAGGCTATGTAGGTTTTATGCAGCAAAACAAATACTTTGAACTTGGCTTGATAACAAGATCAGCAGTTAGTCCACTTTCTTTAAGCAGATATGTTCAAGCAATTTCATTTCCTTCAGTCTTTAGTACTCAGCTGTGGTATCTGGGCCAACTTTATAGGCTGCTTCATGTAAAGTTCACTGTAATTAATCTCATCTTCAGGTTAACAGCTCACAGATCAATTGGCTATGTCTAAAACTAAATCTAGATGTTGTTCTGAAAACAACTCTTTTCCTCTTGTCCCTATGTCGATAATGACTACTCCAAGAGCAACCACAGACTCAGAAGGAATGCAACTCTGTCAAGAATAGGCAATCTCTCTAATTTCATAGAACTTCTGGATTTCATAGTACCTTCATCTTGTTTTCATTCAGCATCAGCTTACTGGCACTCACTCAAGCTACCACTGTATCCAGATGCTGATCAAATGACTGTATAATACCTTTGTGCTTACATAATCAAGAGAAGCAGAACTGGGCATCATCTTGATAGCTCATTCCAAATCTCAATATATTTTGGCCAACTATTTCAAACAGATATTAACTATTATTAAGAACAAAATATAACCATGCAGAAATTCACAGCTTAACTGTCCTGTGGCTGAAGTATTATCACCCAACATTACCTTCCATATTGAATAACTCTGTTGTAAGAACTAGGCAAATGCAGTTCAAAAAGAAATGCTAGAATAATATTAACCTCCAAACCTGACCTTATAGGTACATATGGTACATCACAAAGCTGTTCTAGAAGAATGTCATATTAACCATTGAATAAGAGGAAGATCAAGAAGAATGGGAGACATTATAAGTCAAGATGGCAAAGACTGATTCAGCTCCACAACCAGCCTGCATACTAAGAGTTGCTGATTATGCTATTTGTAGAAGAGGCTTGTCCTCTCCCATAGCAAGCATGGAAACACAGTTGACCATACTATTAGCAGTTAGTAATGGAAATTACAGGTCAGTATTTTATGTGTGCTTATTTAGAGGACAATTCAAGCTAGAAAAATAATTCCAAGAGCAAAATAGCGATTACTTCTGATAAAGCATTTTGAAGTAGATCACCGATATCAACAAAGCACATATATTGATACATCTTTTGGTTATAATAGATTTACATTTTAAAAAGCATTCTAGATTACACGATCCCTTAGCAACTGATGCAGTACTGACCCTCCAACTTCATAGTATAGGTGACTTTTGTTTCCCATAATTTGGAAATGGAGTCTAAACAATATTATCTGTAATGAACATTTTTGCATACGTACAAAATTTGACCTGTTGTAGGTTTTTTGTTATTTTTCTATTTATTTGAGCTTTTGACCATATGTAATTTACTTTTTTTATTTATTGCCTTTGTTCTTGTATTTTAATATTGCATTTTATTACTTGTGTTACCTAAAGAATATGTGTTCTTAAGTAGCCTATATAAAAACTAAAACATTCAGGTATACTTTTGTTCTACTTTAAATCCTGAGGTGGAGTGATGAAAATAATACTCTGATCACATCAAGCTCAATTTTCCTATTTTTAAAGACATTTTATGGAAATGTCTGAACTGCTAAACAACACACACACAAACACACAGAAAGAAAGAGAGAGAGAGAGAGAGAGAGAGAGAGAGAGAGAGAGAGAGAGAGAGAGAGAGAGAGAGAGAGAGAGATTTTCATACTTAGGGATAAACTGTGATAATTCCACATGTCCCAAAATCCATAATTTATTAAGTAACTTTCAATAGCCAGATTTTATTTCAATTCTTGAAGTAGGAGGCCAAACACCAAATCTACAGAGTTTAATTTTCAACTGGTGGTCTGGAAACTCTACTTACAAAAGTCTCTATTAATATCACTAGATATCTAGTCAATAGGTAAGTGTTTTTGGAAAAGCAGACCATGCAACATATGCCTTTTTTCTGAAGTATCTCTGAATGTTTTAAAATATCAGCTAATCCATTAAACAGTAGATGCGATAGATAAATAGATTCATGCAAAGTAGATAGAAATAAGGGAAACTTAGTCATAAATAATGCAAGTTTCACCGATTTCTAGCTCATATATTGTGCAGGCATAATGTATTCTACCTGCAGTACAGTAGAGGAATGGGAAACTAAGCAAAAAATAAAAATATAAGAACTATTTAAAAAGCTATTAAACGATAACTGGTTAGATTACCTTGACTTACCTGAGCAAAATATAGTTTAATTTCCTTTCCAAGAAATTCTGACTTGTGTAACCGAATTTTAACTTCAGCTGCTGATAAAGGATTGCTGAAGTTCAGCCTTATTCTTTTAAAACTCTTGAAATAATGAAAGGTGACATCTTTGTCATATGTTCTAAACAGAGCTTCAAATCTGCCCTGAAAAATAAACATGTGAACAGTTAACAAGAATATAGCATTCCTGCCTATTATTTATTGATCCATAAACAAAGCCAGAAGTATTTCAAGACAGTTTCACTTTCTGAATTAAGTACAATTCATAAAAAATGCAACTATTAACCCAAACACAAGCACATTTTCTGTATATCCGGGCTCCTATGCCTTTCAAATTTTGAGTATAGCTACCAAGACCTTGCCCAATTGTTGTTACTGAATTAGAATTTTTTATCAAATTGTAAGAGAAAATGGTTAATAACTACATTTATTCATCTGCATTGTACGTTAATTAAATATACATGCAGATAGGAACAAATCTAGTGATCTAGTTCTCTCTCTCATTGTCAACATCTCTTGCAGAACCTAACAGAAAACTTCCTCTGTCTTCTTCTATACTGTATTTCCCAAATGCTTATGTGTCAGCTTGCAAGTGCTCCCAGGAAGGTCAATTCTCTCTCTGCCCCCCCCCCCTTTCTGTATGCCTGGTAGCATTAGCATCCATCCCCATCACAAATTCCCCTTGCTATGCATATTACTGCAACGAAGAGCCATATTCTCAGGATAGATTTAGTTTGGGGCTGCAAAGAAAAAGAAAATGTTATAGTACAATCCTCTGGGTGGGGCAACTGAGGAGCAGCTCAAAATGCAGCGACTGCCCCATTCTAAGTTCCCCACCCTCCCTTCTGGTTGCATGACTCAGAGCATATGCTCCCTGTTCTGTGGTTTTCAATGCATACATAGGCAAAAACATAGCAGACACAACACAGCAAGAGAGCAGAAACATGTATGGATACAATACAATGGAGTATAAAAAGAAGAAAAAGTGCTTCCTTCTGCCATTGCTGGCAAAGGGGCTAGAAAGAATCCCAAGAAGCCATGTTCTACATGATTTCCCTACTTTGTTTTCTCTTAAGAACATTTGTGATCAGTACTAAACTACACACACCTCTATTTTTTTTTAACTAGGTAAAAGCATCCTTCATTTCTATATAGAAATAGAGGCCCCCAGAGGCAGGTTTCCATTCTAATTATACATGAACATCAATAGAGTATAGGCTACAACACACAAACTTAACCAGAATGCGGAGAAGAGATTGAAAATTGCCTGAAGACACTCCTTTCCTTGGAAAAGATCAAATTCAGAATCACTGGGAGGAAACCCTCCAATTATGTTATCCATAATACACAAAGGCTATATGGTTATTCCATGACTTAGCAACGATAATAAACATCTCCCAACAAGCTACTGAACTGAAAGAAGGGAACAATAAGGCAGCATATATACTGGTGTTATTAAATATCATTGCCATCAACACTATTTTTCAATGTCGTTTGGAAGATTATCTATTGGGCAGGGCTGCAAATTTTACTTATATCATCCATTCAAATGACAGTTATTTCAAAAACAGTAACTAAAATGTAAAATTTAACTATGAGCTACATTGCTAGCCATATAAGTAGCCGTTAGCATTATAATATATAAAAGAAAACTAAAGCTATACTGAATGTATTACTGACATAGAGTTTAACAGATCTATGAAAAATGTTTAACAAGATATATTTCTATTTCATCATCGTCCTGTGCCAGGAAAATCAGCATCAGCTAGAGAGGTAACTAACTGCTTCTTACAAAATCAGAACATCTAACTCACTCTTTGTCTTTCCTAGTCATACCTAGATGAAAATTATATACTACTTTACTGTCCCTCTTCTTGCTTGCTGTGTAGCTATAGATAGACCCATAGGCTGGGTCTGCCAACAAGATGGTAATGCTGTTTTGGTCTATCAACAACTCTAGAGAAATTATACAGCACATCACAATCATATGTTCAAATATAAGAAATATGCAAAACTAGGGTGACGATGCAGGGTACAACTAGATATAGTTTAATGAAGATATTGGGTGCTTCATTGGCTGAAGTGAAGTCTGCATTTAAAAAGAACTTCATAAATACAACAGTTGCTGGCCCCCAATAATATAACTTTTACTGTCTGCTTTCATGTACATAAATATGCCAACAACTGCCTTTCCTACTGAGGCACTGCTATTGGAATATGCCATTAGAAATGTCAAGCACATATTCAGCCCACATTTATTTTTCCAATATTAATAAAAATAGATGCTATCTTCCACTAGGAGTGGAATTTAGAAGGAGACAGTATTTTTATATCTTCCTTTTTTATTCACCACCAGGAGCAAAATATAATAATCTTACTTTAGCTAACCTGAAAAATTAACTAGTGACTGAATGATTAGAATTTTTAAAACATTACAGTTGATAAAATATTCAAATCAACAATAAAATTATTAGCATGGAAGAAATTATTTAATTACATTTTAAAATAATATTGTAATTGTTTAGTAATTATTTTATTTCATTTTAGAATTATAATTATTTTAGCATTTATATGGAAATTTGAACATCCTTAAAAACTAAAACATTCAGGAAAATGTGAGGCTGCTCCTTTATAATAGTTATTTGAGGCCCAAGGAATGTAGAAATAGATAAAAGGAATGATTGTTCTTTAAAGCTTAAGTCACAATATCCATGTTGTTAACTCCCATCCCAAAATACTCCTGCATCTTATTTTCATCAATGAGAATAAAGGAAAAATAAAATTAAAAGACAAATAAAGCATAAAGGAAGATATTGGAAATGAAACAAAATATAACATACATTATGGAAAAATTAGCAACTGTAAAAGGTTATAATGTTACCTTAATGAAAATGATGTTTAAATTTCAAAAATTCCCTAGATAAATGTACATTTCTGCTGGAATTCGGAAAGTGGTTGAAGAATTTTTAATATTATTAGGCTACCAATCTATGATGTAATAAGAATATATCCCATGGAATTCAGTGTTGCTTTATCTTAGACAGATATCCTGTTAATCTTTAATTCTTCTATTCCAGTTATTTGTACGGTGCCAACTAATATTGTTGAATTCCCAGCACACTCAGAAACATTGTGTGCATAACCAACGGAAGCATTAAAGATTTTATCTTTTGTCCAGAAATACTTGACAACTTGCAAATAATTAACAAAATATTTTAAGATTCTTTATGATCTTGCAATCTAATAACATGAGAAATTTCTAAATCATACAAAAACATCAAAAGCACATCAGCTTCTCTACCTTGAATTGTTAACAATGCATCTGTTATTTTGCTTCGCTTTTTGACCAAGTCAATGTTCTCAATATACTCACATTTCCCAGTATGCTATATACCTTTCCCTAAAGCAGTTTTAATGTCAAAAAGTCTTACCCTAATTTCAGGTTGATTGAAAATCTTGTTGTCTGCAACACAAGCAATCAAGGAACCAAAAATGTAATCAAAGTTCCTGAAATGCATTTTTGCTTTCTTGTAAAGACTGCCAGGAGCTTAGCACAAGACCAAGAAAAACACTTTTTGAAGAAGCAGTTCAGTACTGGAAAGACAGCTTATAAAAGAGACTGAAGTCCAGCCCCTCGGCAAGAACAAAAAAATCCAACACCCCAAGTTTTAGAGCATCCTGTATGTGACACCAAATTCCTGAGCAAAGTTCTGCCACATAGTTTCAGGCTGTCAGGGACAAAATGTAAGCTTCAGCTGGAAAGAGGTGACGTAAGCATGTTAGTCAGTTTCCCTATGCTAATTAACTTTGCTTTGGAGTATGGAAAAAACAGCCAAGGTTTTCATAGGCAGCTGCTTTATCAACTCCTCTTGCAGCATAGTTTCCATTGCTAGTAACTCCATTTAGCACTCAGACAACAAAGTCTTCACTTGAATAGGACAACCCACTTTAAGATGGAAAAAGTTACTATTTGAGGACTAAGGTTAGCTGCAATAAACAGTAATTAGCTGGCAGGAAATATTTCAAGACTTTGGAAAACTAAGAACAAATCTTAGTCACTATACAGTCAAAGCCTATATATGTTTACTCAGAATTCAGTCCCACGGGTCTTAATAAAACAAATATAGGACTCCTAAACTTGTATTTTCCATGGCTGAGTTAGTTTTAAAATGAATTCTAGAAAAAATAAATCCCTTCAAGTGTACGCTGCCTCTTTTGTGGCTAAAAGTCTCATTTCTCTCTTTTAAGTTACTGGCCTTATACCATCCAATGAAGCCAAGTCAAGTGGGAACTCATCACTCTAATACTTTAACCACTGCTTTCAATTACTGCTTCATACCCTTTCACTGTTAAGAAAAACAGTGGAATGTTTCACTTTCTTTTAAACTGCATCATATACTTCTGTACAATTATTAAAAGGTAAAGACTTAACACTGTTGAAGCATTCAAATATTTTCTACTGTATGCAAGAAAGGTAAGTTGAAGGAACAGGAAATACTTGAATTCCATCAGCTTTAATTAAGTTCATGTTAAAGCTTTCCACACAGGATTTAGATTACAGATAATCCTCGTTGTTCATTTAGTAAGTGTTCTAAGTTACAATGGGGGTTGAAAAAGTGACTTATGACTGGTTTTCACACACTTATGACAATTGTAGGATCCCCATGGTCACATGATCAAAATTCCCATGATCCCCTTCTGTGACCTTCTGTCAAACAAAGACAATGGGGAAGCCAGATGCATTTAACAACCCTGTTACTAACTTAACAACTTCAGTGATTCATTCAACAATTGTGGCAAGAAAATTCGTAAAATGGAGCAAAACTCACTTAACAAATGTTTCACTTAACATCAGAAATGTTGGGTTTAATTATGGTCGTAAGTCGAGGACTACCTGTACTGATGTGAAATAGGTAGACAAATTTAAGATGCTCACCCAGTTAAAAGTAAGGCAAATTTGTTTTGGGTGGAGATCCTTTTTAGTTGGTCACAAATGAATTTTGTCAAGTTGTCAATTATGTCTTTAGTGTATTTCATCTAAATCTCTCACCTAGCCTAGGGTTAGAGTCTACAATACAGCAGACTTATTTTAATTCCTCTGCATAACATATTGGCTGAAGGACAGATATTACCTTATTGAAGTACCAAGCTTGCCTGTTTAAATTTCAGGTCTGTTGATTGTAGAGGCACTTTTAGATAAATATTAGCATATATGAAGATTAGGAAAAAAAGTAACAACTTTTACTGAATGCTTTTATACAACATCAATAACACATTTTTGTCCTCCTACGCTTCAAATACTTATACACTGCACTTGAAACCCAAATATTCATAGTATGTTAATTCATGTTTCTCTGAGAATATTTTCCATCCCTATTCTTGTTACTCAAGTTTATTTAGGAAAAAACAATCACAATCTTAATGTATACTTGACCAAGTAGACTAATTACAAAAATTAAAAGGAAAAATTTTCACTTACAAATGTTATTACATATATTAAATATAAAACCTACCTAAGCTTTCTCTAGAAACATTTCAAAATTGAAACAGATATATCACTTACCCAAAACTTCTTGCCTATTTTTTATTATATTAAGCCTAAGTAAATATATATAACTTGAAATCTTACTCATCAGATTGTGATCTATTAGCTAGTAGCTATTTCATTTCACTAACCTTGCAATTTTTTGCTGACAAGTCCTTTCATCTACTATGGAGAAGACCACATTTTGGGTTTGGAGAAGGCAATTATTATTAATGGAATCATGCAATACAGAATCTAGCTATTACTTGAAATTATGTTTCATTAGATAGTAAGAGCATGATATTTTCAGAATCAAAGTAACCTAAAACCATAATTTTAAAAATGAAAGAGAAATTACTTTTAATTTGTATTATCTTCTTATTGTACACTTTGAGCTTTATTGCAAACATTAATTTGATTTTACGACAAAATTAAGCTTCCCCATGAATGGCTAGAAATTACCTGGCGAGCTAAGAAAATGATATTTATTCTCCCTCTCTATACTCATCCGAATATATACAAACACTAGAATTTATGAAAGCTCCACTGGACTCAAAAGCAGAATAGCTCCTTTGGATCCAAATCTATGTTTCTGCATTTTCATTCCCTTTCTACATATTATTATATGGACTGCAAAAAAAATTTCCATTTTGGGTTTATATTTGACCTTAACAATGGTTTTGCAGTGGTTAGTTAACAAAATTGTAAATCATCTATCTTTCACAGAAATGTTTAAACATTTTTGTGATCTGTATATTTTACTTTTTATGTATTTATACATGGAGGGCAATAAATCTATTTGGGGTATTCTTTTAATGGAGCAGTTTGCTTGAATTACACTTCTTTCCTGTTTGTGTGCAGTAGTTTGTAATTAGTAATTAGAACAATTAAAATCAGGGCTACTGCCCTTTGAAAATACCTGAGTTAATAATCAATCCTAACCCTAAACTCACAAGCGCCATTTTATTTTATTTATTAAATTTATATTTTAAATCAGAAAACTGTGATAACCTTTACAGTTTTTAGTTTTAATGTTTCAATATTTACTTCTTCAAACCCTGAAATAAAGGCCTCTTCTCTGAATCCTCTCAAACATAACAGTGTGGATGAAAGTGATAGTTTTCTTAGCTTTGGCTCATCAGCTGTCCTCTGCTTTCCCAAGTGCTTACTTTAATATATCTTCAAAACGAGGCAAATATCCTTTGTTATTTATTATTTCAGGCTTTATAAGCTTTAAATTTTTACTACTGTGTGAATTTAGCATGCTGTTTCAATAACAACAATAACAAAAATTGAATTGTGAATAGTTATGCATTAAAAAAAAGTTACCTTTTCTAGATTTTGTTTGGGGAGGGAGAAAGATTTAAAAAGCAATAGCTATAAATTTCATGGAAAAACACTGCAAATAATTTATTATAAGTTCCATTTGTTCTGCTGATCCAGCTGCGCCATAAAGCTCCATGAAGCACACAAAATTTTGGTTATTACAAAATTATTCTAGCTTTGAGATTACGAGAAATCAAAATCAACATTAAACCAATCTTTCACAATCTCTGTTATCTTCAAATTTTTTTTGAAATAAAACTGCTGGAAATTTATTTTATACAAATAATACAAAGCTTAACAGCTTCTTATCAACTTTACCACACAAACCTAAAATACAGCTTTTACGTATTTCGTCTATCATTAAACTCAAAGCAATTTACCTGGGATTTTGAAGTGTTTTCCCATGTGATTACTTATCAAATCTAGATTGATTAGCTTTATATGGCATTACACGGAGCTTTGGCATTTCTTTAATTAATTCTCAGTTGTAAATTGATAGTTAAGTTTTTATTACTGTTATTTATATTTTTAAATTAATTTGGAAGCCACCATAACAAATATAGTTTTTTAACAATCCAGCATATCAAATTCAATAACCACAAATACTTCCCCCCCCCAAAAAAAGATTACTTCAATAAACAAATCTTTTAGTTCCTGGAAAAAGTGAGCTTCCAGTTGTACTGGTGGTTTCTAAGGTTTCATAATGATTGTTACTAAAATCCTTCATCTAGATTACTGCTGTCTGTACTTGTCAAAAGATGGGATTAGCAAAATGGTCTACAAAATGGTCTTAATAATAAGCACAGATGGTTCTTGAGATAAAAAAAATAAAGAGAAGCCTTGAAGATTAAGACCAGCACTGAGGGTAGGGCCTGTAAGAAATAGTTAACTAGTTTAACTAGCCTGAATTTTGTTCTATACCAACTCTTCCATTTGGATTATATTTAAGAGCAATTCCACAAGAGGAAATAAAGCTAGGAGCCCGTTATTACATGAATCACAACAGAAAAGTCCAAAATGAATGATTCCAATATGGAAAAAAAAAAAAAAAAGACTTGACTTCAACCATATTTTTCAAACTTTGCACTAAACAAGCAGTATTCACAGAATGTAATCTTATTAGAAGACATCTGAAGTAGCAAACATTCTCTGAAACACAATAGTTAAAAACAAAATATCAGTCTTCTTTAACATAATATACTTAGTTCAAATCAAGGACTGATGTTCTTCATCAGAATTACCACTGGGAATTCATCATGGTTTTAGTCCACTTACCTTCATAGAAACAATATTTCACCATATAGAAATATTCTTTTAAATAAAAGATCCATATTTTCATAAAATAGGTTGATAGATGCTTCAGTTGCTGCTTTACTACTCTCCCAGCCTACCTTACAATCGGTCAGTTTTGATTTCTCAAAATAAAGTTCAGAATAATCTAGAGCAGGGCTTTTCAACCTTTTCACCCATTGTACCACTTTTAGAATATGTCAATATCCGAGTACCACCAGTCGCCTAGCAAGGTGTCAAAAACTTGATGACCAAAAAATAAAAAAAAGGAAAAAAGTGATAAAGTACAGGTAGTCCTCGACTTACAACAGTTCGCTTAATGACTGTTCAAAGTTACAATGGCATTGAAAAAAGTGCCCCACAAGCCACAGCCGAGCAAGACATTTGCCTGCCCATCCAGCGGCGCTTTTCCTCCAGTTTGAGGTTTTCATTGTTGTGAGCATTTTTGTTGGGGATTGGCAGCAGAGGTGGGGTAGAGGTGTTGGTTTTTATTCCACCCATCCGCTGGGTGGTTGCAGCAGATTTTGGACACTTCACAAGACCCTGGGACACTGTAACCATTATAAATATGAATCAGTTGCCAAACATCTGAATGTAAATCATAAGATTCTGGAGATGCTGCAACATTCCAGCTGACTGGCGCTTCTTCTGGGCTCAGCAGAAGTGCCAGGATCAGCGCTGAGCTCCAGCTGGAGCCTGGCGCTGATCCTGGTGCTTCTGCTGAGCCCTGAGAGCCCTGCAGCTCCAGCCATCTCTCACTCAGGCTTCTGCGATGCTGCCACCAGTTCAGTTCATTCCCCTCCCCCACTACTTTTTTAGGATGGTCGCATACCACCTGCTAGGCCCCAATGTACCACAGGTGGTACCCGTACCACTGGTTGAAAAGCCCTAATCTAGGGGGGCAATTTTGATATAGATGTTAAACTGCATATGGCAAGTATGCAGTCACCAGAAGCTGAGCCCGACTCAAAGACACTTAACTGGGGAATTGCTGGGGAGAGCAGAAAAGACACGTGTTCATGTACACCACAGATGTCAAACTCACTGCATCACATGACGCGTCATGACGTATTGCAACTTTTTTTGCATTGCCAAACTGCTGGTCCATGGGCCTCTGTATGATGCAACCGGCCCATGGACCAGCAGTTTGACACCCCTGCTATACACCAACCATGGTCTACCTATCCCAACTTCATTTGGCTGCATATGAAATTTGGAGCAACTAAGGTATTCTGGGGTTTGGTAAACCTAGAAGGGTTTGGCAGGCAGAATATACCTGAATGTATATGTTTCGTGAATGAAACATATGAAACTGAATAAAGTCAGTCTTGATTCTGGTGGCTAAATTAACAAATCCACGCAGGGTATTTTGCAAGATTTTTGGAAGTGGTTTGCCATTGCTTTCTTCCTATGGCTGAGAGACAATGTGATTGGGCCAAAGTCACCCAGCT